TTCACAGGTTCCCAGCGGGAGGTTGCTTTCGAAATCTTTTCCATTTCCAGCTTTGAAATCACTTATCTAAATTTCCGCGCGCATCAACATTTTTTATTTCACCTTTCATTTCTTTCAGAGTAAATATTACTGTAAGCAAGAGCAAGTGTGGAAGATGGCGATTGGCAGCGTGTGACTTGGCCTTAATTCAATTCATCGATTTTAAGCAGATTCGGGGATTTAATTTATTTTTTAATTTATAGAGGACTGATGTCAATATATCGGGGATCCGCGGTAAATGCACTTTGGACAAACCAAGAAAAAGTTCACATGACTTGCTTTTACTAGGAAAAACTACACAGTTTCACGTATTTTTTCCTGATCATCCACAAGATGTTGCCTCGGGTTAAACATAAAGGCTTACTTCCTTTGATAATCGAAATCAATCTAAACTTTACTCGATAACTTAATTATTTTTACTTGAAAAGGAAAATATTTGCTTTTTTATCGACTGATTTCCTATCCGTGATCCACTCGAACAGTGGATTCGACGACAATGTTAAGTAGTATGCTAGACATGTTTTAGTGTTTTCCTCCCAATTTGTATTATCATACAAGTGAATTTCCACTTGAAGTAAGATCAGATTACAACAACTAAAATTTGACTCGATTTCTCATGCTGGAAATAAGAGATAATGAAAGAACTGAGAGAGATAATTATCGATTGACTTGTGGTATTAATTTGCATTTGTTATATCTCGTTGTTCTCATTTTTACTAATTTGATAAACGCAAAATGAGTTCGAGGTTGAAGAATCTTATAACCATGGTGACTAAATGAGATACTCCCTCTTCTGGACTTTTCATTATTTGAAATCGTACCGTACCATTTACTAAATGTCACTTATATCATCTCTTAGGTTTTCTCCTTCAATTTTTTGTCACCTGATTGGAATCATTCCCTGTGCATGGATCTTGGAATTTCATCTTCTGGAGGCGAGAAAAAATGGCAATTTGACCAATGACAAGGTAGAAGATTCTATGATATCACTCCCGGTTGTTGAACGAATGAGAATAATAATAATAATAATAATAATAATAATAATAATAATTATTATTATTATTATTATTATCATCACCTTTGTTCAGTGAGGGTAGTACAAACCCTCTTAAAAAAAAAAACAAAACAAAACAAAAAAACAAACAACAAACCAAAAAAATTAGAAACTAACAAAATTGCCATGTAAATAATAATAGAATTGCAGTGGATAGAAAGCTAATGTAGCACAGTAAGATCGTTTTCCTAATTTTGTTGATGAATGACCTCAGGGAGGAGCAGTCCTTTATTTCATCAGGAAGAGACTGAAAAACATAAGGAAATCCTGAGGGAACCAGCCATTTTTTCTCGCCTAAGGAGGGGGGGGGAGAATTCTGGGGAGGATCACTTGGTTTTTGAGAAGGAACCGAGAGGGGATCACTCGTCGCCGATAGAGTATAAAGGGAGGACTATACAAAATGTACTGCCAATTAACTGCCCATGAGTAGGAGGGGGGGAGAGGGGATCAGAAATATTACAGAACCTTATGGGGGGATCTTGTAAATTTTTTGGTGATAAAACCAAAATCCTCCAACCCATCCCTCCCCCCAGTTGATAGATGATGACCGTTACGTAAAGAGGCTGTTTGGTTCAAGGGACCCACTGGAACAAAGACAGAAACTGACCACACCACACCCAACTGCTAATCAACCAATGATTATTTCTGTTCTTTTGCAGCTTGATTCGAACGTGCTGATAGTTTCAGCAGAGAGGTGGACGGATCTAATAGAACAGACAACCATGTTGATGATGATTCTAGGCCGCTGGCTGCTCCCTACAGCACGAGGCATGACAAAGGACTCCCTCTCACAGCTCCTCCTTGTCAACCTAGCCATGTGCGCAGATATCATCGAGTTCTTCGACATTCTTAAACTGAGCTTCGTGAAATCTTCTCAGACGCTCATAGTGACAATTCTTTGCCTATGGACTTGGAGTTTGATGCAGTTTCCATTCAACACCATGTTAAAACTTGACATCGAAGATGAAGGGTCGGACGAGAAAAAGACAGCAAAAAATATCGGTAAAACTTTGCGGGGGAAAAGAGCAATTGCGCCGTATGAAGAGGAGATGGATATGCCAAACAGAGCTTCAATGACGTCAATAGACTTTAGGCAAGCCATTGCTGCCAAGAGAATGTCACGTGACATTTTACTGATGTCACATAACTATTCACGCGGATTACCAGCTGGTTATCTGCCAGATTTTCGGCGAAATTCATATCAGCCTCATGTAAGGGGCAATGATTATCCCGGGCCTAACACGAACCAAGCCCAAGAAGGCATTTTAAATGGGCAATCGAGAGGACCTGGGCGCTTTTCCTTAGATGTGGGACAAATGAGACCGAAAGGCCCGACGGGAAATATGACGACATCAATTACGTCACCGAATCTCAGGCTTGACTTGAAGGGGCTCCAGGAGGACACGATTCGCTCCAAGGAAAAATCTGCACGAGCCAGTTCAGACGCACTGGAGACAAATGTCGATATAGAGGCTGATTCCTCAGAGGAGGAAGAAACGAAAAAGTCACGCATTACAATAGAACTGTTAGGGATTCTTATGTCTCTATTCATGCAAGACGGACCATTCCTTACCTTTCGTTTATTCATAATCGCCCAATATGACGCATACGAGTACATGGTGATTTTCTTGACCGCAAAAAATGCGCTTGTCCTGGCGTTACAAGTATACCGGCTTTGTGTTCTTCATTGCGCGTGTTATGACCATAAGGAGAACGATTTCTCGCCCGAGAACGAGATCGATGCTAATTCTCGGCTCAAAAACGTCCAGGTAGCCATATCACACGGGGGTAATGAAGAATCCGAGGACGAGTCTATTCATGCAATGGGCTGGAATTTCTCGAGGAAATGGCGGAGGAGCTTTAAAAATCCATTTTCTTCCTCGCACTTATCCGATTCGCAAGCACATTTAGCGCCATAATACGCTAAACATGCTTAGCCATTACGGTGGAAAGAAGGGATGGGGAAGAGACACTGTGCTCTCTGATGAGACAATTCACCCCTCCTCACCCCCCTGACGAGCTCCGGCCTTCTTGATTTCACTCCGAAAATTTGGTTTGTGTTCTTAGTTACTGAGTACTCCCTAATTTACCTGGTAAATAAAGATAAGAGCTGCATATTTATACTATCATGATTGAGACTTACAGATCATGAATTCGAAATTTTTCTCTCTCTTGTTCACTGAGTTGATCAAGCTGATAAATCAAGTGACTTTTATCAACATTTTAAAATTTTATTAAGGTATTCACTGGCACTTTTACACAACTAAAGACGGCGGGCTTTTGTGACAGAAGTTTTACATGAAAATATCGAGATAGCTAATTACTTTACGAAATGGTTTCTGCATCGAATATTTGAGACTTTATTGAGAGATTACTGTAATTAAGAGCTTTAACGTAAGTTTGCTGACCGTAGTTCACTTGAAAATACAAATGGGCCATAACGCTCTGGGGAATGAAAATACGAAAAACCGAGTTTTGTGGAATTGCTTCATATTTTGGAGTTAGCCAAAGATAAGATTATGCCGTGAAATTAAAAACTTTATGATAACAGAATTCTGTCTAAATATTTTAAGAACAAGTGATAATCCATGAGGACAATGTTGAAATTAAGCCAGTTTCCATTACCGGATTAAGATTTTTTCAAAAGCAAATTTAACGCGTTATTATAAACTAATTGGTGTCTTATAGAAGCGTCGCATCAAGCGCTGATAAACGAATTGAAAAATAAAATCTTCATTTTTCACAACTACTTCTACCATATCTTTATAGAAAACAATATCTGCAGTCTGAAACTTGTACTAAAACCGCGACCTACAAACAAAGGTTTGAAAATCTTTCACATTTGTACAATTTTGTACAGTCATGCAGTCAAACAATTAAGAAGAACGTATGCAAGTCATGCAGTTTTACTTAACTTGGGCAGAAGGTAAATGATATGGTTGCCGTCATTACGGAAGATTCAAAATACTACTTTCTTTAAGCCAAAAATAACACCTTTGTTATCTTACTTACTAGCTTTTGGTGTTTCTAGCCGTACATTTTCGACGCTAAGACTTTTCGCTTTCCAACGTGGCTTTTTATATTCTAGTGAAAAATTGACTTGTAGTTCCTGAGTTTCTGGAGCAAAACTTTTAAAAACACCTTTCATGAACTGGACGTTATATTCTTCTCTTTACAGACGGACAAAGTTTTTTCTTTTGTGTTTTTCTTGCTTGCTGCGAAATTTTCTTTCTCTCTCAACCTTATCATGCATGCAACAACATTCTCCTCCTCGCTTATGAAAAGGACTTGTAATATTTCAAGTCCTCTATCAGGAGGTTTTACATTAAAAAAAAAACAGTTGTAGGAGGTTTAGCACTGCCTATAAGTCCTTTAACCATCGTCTATTTAGCCAGCTGCGAGCTTGTTCTTGTGTACTTGTCTGGGTTTAGCTTTACGGTCCCTTCTCGGGCACAACCGCCTGTTAGGTAGCCGCGTATGAAAAAAAAAGTTATTAAAACCACTTCCTCCACCCTCTCAATACCCTGATGTTGACAAAATACTTTATAAACGGCACTTTCTTATCTCTTTTTCTAAGAGGCGGTTAATGTTTATCGCTTATCACTTTCAGCGAAATCTCATTACTCACTCAGTCTTGTTATGCAATACTCTTCCTTCTGGTGTTTCTAAGATATCGACAGTATTTCAAGTCTTCTAAGCCATCTGAACCGGATCTTGTCCCTCTCTCGTATTCAAAATCCTTTTCAAAATTTCTAGTAGATAGTTTCGTTGGTCGTATCTGGTAAATCGGGGTAAGCGAACCGTCGGCGGGAGTCGGATGGGTTCGTCGTCGCCCTCGTTGTTTTCGAAAACTGACCCTCGCCTGCTTGCGGGCTCTTCCTCCAAAGGGTTTAGAAAAGGCTTTGAGTTATCTGCCAAACGAGATTTTCCTGCTAAACCTTCGTTCAGCTTCCGAAGATCTAATAGTGATAAACTTGCTCGTCTTCGAAAAAACTCGCTTTTGCTCAGAACTAACAGTGCTAGTTTGAGCTGACGATTCGCTTGAAATGGATGAACGCCGTTGGCGTGTTCTTACCAGATTTTCTTGTTTCATGGCTTCCCCTTGACCCATAGTGAAACTCGTTGCTCGGCTTCTTGGTGTTGTTATTACCTTGGATGCTTCCTCGTAAAATTGGTACGTTCCACTGCTTCCCCTGAGTTTCTCTTGATATTTCAGCATTTCGTTTTTGTCCTTTTCCATTTTACTCTCGGAAAAGAGTCGAATCTTCTCCAGCGACTTTTTCACTCTTTCCCAGTTACTATTCAGCTGGTTGTTTTGTATTGAAACTCTTCGGCCCAGATTTTTCGCTCGCAAAATTGGCTCCTGTTGCAGCTGACTTCCTATCGGTGATAGATTCATGTCGGCGTGACAAAGTAACCAAGAAAGTACGAATTCAAGAGTTTAATATTCCAGTCCTTCAATTTTTACCACACACGAGCCTTTTTACTCGCGACGCCGGTTTGTAAACTGAAAGACCCGCTCAATAACAGACGTATTTACATTGGGATGGCCTTCATCTGGTTTATTGCCCGTAGAAAGTCATTATGAAAGCGATATTTTCATGCAAATTCACCCTAACAATTGCTTTATTTCAAGGAATAAGGTATTTAAGTCCAATGTGTTAATGAAATAAAGGAAGGCGGGATGGAATCGAATGCTATTCATATCAAGAGAAAAACCCTGGTTGATAAACAAAGGCAGGTGCATACTTTAAGAGCTATTTTTGTCTTTTACACATGGTACAATACTAAAGTGTTAAGCTCTTTTTCTTGTTTTCACTTTTGCCAGAACTTAGTATGCTTAGCACAACGTTTGCAGAAAAATTCATAACAGACATCACTCTGCTCCGAAACCCTGTTGTAAGGTAATACTGATCGAATGTGCGCCGGCGTTTTTCGCCTAATTACACATTTTCAGTTAAGTTTTGTTCCCGTCACCAAGTCTCTTGATTTAATTCACAAAAGGTTGTTGATAATTACTGTAATTTGAATTTCATTGGCTTCTTGCTGATTAGAACTAAACTTACAAAAGTTCAATGCCACTTGTTTCCCTAACAGGTCTAAATAACCGTTATACCTTTTACCATTATAATTGTTGATATCACCCGAACCAGATGTGTTTGTTAACCTAGTGCATTCATACATGTCGTGGGTCCAAAATCACAATTAATACTATCATTGTTGCAATTACAGAACCGCTCAATAAAGTTGACAGTCTCGACTCTAAACTCGAGGATCGAGGCTTGGCTGTAGAGTCGATACTTTCTACTTACTATTTAGCGGTTCTCTTTAAAACTTCCCTATTATTTCGATCTGATGTTAAATTATTCTTTTTTTTCCCTTCTTAAGCCCAGTTTTAAAGTGGTATTTGCTATTGCTATAGGGATCGTGGTGATGGTTGTGGTTAAGCTGTCACGTGACGAGCATGAATCGTGAAGCAATCAATTCTTCCCTGCGTCACCTGATCAAGGCCCAGGTTCCGACTCGCTAAGATGAGAAATGGTAAGAGTGAAAAAAGCCCATATAAACTAACTGGCGATCTACAAACGTGAGTTCAGAATGAATCTCTGATACTTCTGTTTAAAAGCGAAATATAAGCTTTTAAAAGTTAATATCCACAATAAATATGTTAAATAAAAACTGATGATCACGTTATAATCTACTCACTGCGATGCTAACCGCAACTAGTGTTGACATAGTCTAGAAGTGTTTCTGTCACGGTCCGCTTTGAGTCAACAAAACAGTTAAGAAAAGGCGCCGCCTAGCTGATTAAGGGAAATATGGTTGGCAGTTTTTGAATGATGTCAAAAATACATTGATGAGAGAGAAACACGATCCGTAAAAGTAGGATTATTATGGAAGGAAGCCGGTAATTTGTCAAGGGGCCAATGGGTATAGGAAAGAAATTAGCTAGGCCAAACCACGTATGTGATACCCACTTTCCACTGTCCATCGCAGCAAAAAGGGGACCAAAAACGCAGCTGAAAAGAACGAATTTTTCAATAGCAGCTAAAATCAAATTTATTGCCAATCAATTACAAGGGCAATTTATACAGCTTTACAAGGGAAATATACAAATATACAAAAAGATCACTATAAGGCTAGTTCAATATTTTCATTTCAGAATTGCTGGCTTGTATAAACATAAATCTATTTCATCTATCATCTGTCAACTCTAATCAATCAATCAATCAATCAATCAATTAATTAATCATTTAAAGTTAGACAAGCGTTTTGACTACTGCAACAAAGGCAAAGCAAATAAGAATGTATTCATAATTCAAAGCAATAATATGAAATTAACTCTTAAAAAGTCTTAAAAAAAACCAAAAATTTTGTGTTGACTGCATTTTAGTTGAAGTTAAACTCACTTGATTATCTTCTTGACTGATAATCTACACTCCTAAACATAATCATACCCATCACAAATTCCTCAAATGTTATCGGTGGATTACTAGTTTATTTTTAACTCCTTTTTCTGTCAATTGTAATCAAAGTATAATTGGACGGTTGGCTGTACTCAGACACCTGTGATCAGACAGTAAAGGCAGCCAATTATATCAAGTCCACTTTGCTAAATCCATCAATCACAGGATTGATTGCAATAACAATAGCAACAACCACTTGCCCAACAAAACTAGGTAATTCACAAAATGAAGAAATTTTTTTGCAATGTCTCTACCAGACATATTTTCTTAAATAAATGTACATTTTTTTGGAAATTGTAATGGTTATGAATTATTGGTAACATGAATTCCTTTTGTCCAGTTCGGTCTGCAATCATACTTATGATTTACAAATCAGACTTCCACCTAATGGTCTTCCAAGTTTGTAATCACTTGTATGATGACAGACAGAATTAGACTCCATACTGTCCTATTACCATTATTTATTTGTTGGGACACTTCTCTGTAATAATATCTATGATAGTCACCCCTCCCCCTGCCCAATGTTGTTAATTGCAAATTGATGTTTCTACACCATTCACTACCTATATATTTCCATGCCATAGCCTTCCAATGCTTCTATGCCATTAACTGCCAATGTTTCAATTATATCTTGTGGACCAACACTGAGGGTGGCAGGGGAGGCAGTAGGTGTGCCAACAATTGTGTTTGGGAGTATAGTTCCCAAGGAATAAGATTAAATAACAAGAAGAATTTAAAACTTGATTACATCAATACCATGCCAATTGCTGGAGAGACACTGAGCATTGCCCACTGAAGACTATCACTTTGAAGCTTCAGAAGCTAAAAGTTGGTAAAATGCTTGTACCAAATTTCAGTTAAACTTCCTAGTGGGGAGAATTAACATTCAAATCTTGGGAGTTGAAGGGTTAAGTTAAGTAGGGTAGGTAACCTTTTCACTTTCAGAAGAGATCAGCAGTGAATTTCTCCTTACCTAAGTGTGCTCTCAAGCAGAAACACAATGAGAAGCAAGAAATTGTCATCAAGGGATATTACTTGACTCAATAATTAATTTGAAGAGCCTAGCTTGTAGATAATGCATGGAAGACATTGGGGAGAACTGATAATGATATCTAAGGAGTAAAGTGACATAAAACCAAAAAGAGAAACAAGAATGGAGAAATATTGGGAAAGATAGAGATGAGGAAAGATGAAAAGATCGGATGAAACCAAACCCTGACAATCCCAAGCCTTTCAGTTAATACAGGGGCTTTTTTTTGATTAATTTACTCCAAATGTCTCCTTGATGTCCTCATGTGTTATGCACTTCACAAGAAATGGTGCAATCTCATAGAATTATCAAAACGCAATTTTTTTTGCTGTCAAAAACAAAAAGCAATATTACAATTTTAAGAAATAGTCCTATTTTCTGTAAAACAACAAAGTCTTAGAATTACTTTAAAATTCTATTTGTCACAAGCACAGACAATGAATGTTGCTAATAAATTTTGATATCCCCCCTCCCACTCCACCAAATAATATATGACTCACGGCCTCTTTTTTACTCACACCTCTACACACTGTCCTTGATTAGGTAACTGTTTGTAGGGTGGGAGCAATAATTATACTTTGGGAAGGGGGGGTAAGTAAACTATCCTATTAAACTTGATGCTACATTCTTAGTCCTTGCAGTCGTAAAGTCTGAAAGAAAGTTCAAAACAGCAGTTTAGTAAAACCCATGAAACAAATTTCTTCTAGAAATCAATAAACCAAGAGTTTATGATTATAATCTTTTTTTATAATAGTTTTTCTGATAAGAGTTTAGATGATAAAATGAAGGTTATTAAAAGTTCATTCAATCTGTAATGAATGAATTTGGAAATGCATTCACACATGACACACAAAAATTGTACATCATACATCAATGACCTCCTCCAATCAACCCTTGAAAATCAGTTATTTCATGCAGCACAAAAAATTTTGAATGATATTTAATTTCATTCAGAGTATCATTACTTCTCTCATTACCTTTGCCTTATCACTTTGTTCAGTCCCTCCTGCCCCTTGTTCTTGTGAATCAGACACATCTCTTGACACAACACATAAAAATTCTGCTTGATCTTCACTACCATAGTTGTAATTACTGCCAACACTTATTAGCTGGAAATGAAGATATATATCACAAATTTGATGAATTAAGGAAAAAAAATCTATACTGTTTTCCTTCTATAGGTATGCGCTTAACTTTAAAATCCCACCTTGTGTTAGAACCAGTTTAAATTTTTCTTTTACACCAACAAAAAAATTCACTTATTCCTGTTTCTTATAGTCACTGTGAAGATATCCCTCATGGCTGGTTTTTAATAAGTGAGAGATTTGGAACTAGAATCAAATCTGGAGTGGTAAGAATGCTTGTGACCTTGTGAACACCTTAAAATCAGAGATAATGTATAACTGATGGCTAAATAACAACAGCGCGTGGACATGATGGTTACTGTTCGATTACACCATCCAATTACAAGCATCACGCATACACTGTCCTATTAGTGCTCAAATTGGGTTGATGATAACCAATCATATTCAAGAGTTTTGTAGTAATTTTTATTAAGATACTTGTATCCATGCAGGTAACTGTTTGTTTCTCTTCTTTGTCATAGTTTTGATTAATTATGGGATTTGAACCCATGACCACTGCAATACCAGTGCAGTGCTCTACCAACTGAGCTGGTCATTATGCTGGTTCTTAATAAACCCGTGAAGTGATGAACCAACAAATGAAAATCATAGATGTTAACTGCGGTTTTAACCCTTTAAGTCCCACTAGTGACTTAGACAGAATTTCTCCTCACACAATCAGTACAATATCAAGCAGACAAGTAATAAGAATAAAGAAATATATCAATTGGGGATTATTGGTTGTTCCAATTCCAAATTCCCCAAACTAACATCATAT